GAAATACAAAAACACTAATTCAAAGGAATATGTGCACTCCTATGTTTGTTGAATTATTTATAATAGCCAAACTATGGAAGCAACGCAAGTGTCCATCAATACTAAGTGGATAGAGTATAGTATATATATACAGTGGAATATTACTCAGCCAGAAAAAAAGAATAAAATCTCTCCATTTGTAACAGTATGGATAAGGCTACAGAAAATAATGCTATGTGAAATAAGTTAGACAATAAGAGATAGACAAGACAATAAGAGACAGACAAATAAGAAAGACAATACCATATGATTTCACTTGTGTGGAATTTAAGAGACAAAACAAGTGAGCAAAGATGTGGGGGCAAAGACAGACAAATCAGGAAACAGATTTTTAACTATAGGGAACAAACTCATGGTTACCAGAGGGAAGGTAGGTAGGAGAATGGTGAAGTAAGTGAAGAAGATTAAAGAGTACACTTATTATGGGAAATAAAAGCAAAGAAAAATGTAAGGAGAAACTATAATAGATCCAAACAAGAAGAAAATTGCTGAAGTTCTCCCGAGGTAAGAGGGACTAGCAAGAGCCATGTTTGTTTTCCTTCCACCTTGATACCATGCACAGGAGAAAGGTCTGTGTACCTTAAGCTGACCTATCACCCCGGTGAACCCCAGGACCCTAGCCTACACCAGCCCTAGCCATCCCATCAACCCAGCCTCAGAGCAACATAAACCAGGATGCTCATGGTCAGCTCTTCCTGCAGTTACAGCCATTGTGCCAAGGTGACACAGGTGGAAAACACCCTGGAACACTCTAGGCCTGTACCACTTTGGGTCCAGAGGGCTTGCTAGGGCACTCCTAGCTCGGAGTGCTTCTGGACTTCCCAGCCCCCACTTGCTGCACTGAGCACCCAGGGACCCACCCAGTGTGCCCCACCTTGGCTCTAGCCACCACCTACATGACCAGCCCCTGGCCTACCAGGACACCCCTGTTTTCTTTCACTTTAGCTGTCCTGCCACGGTACCCTGTGCACAGGGAGCTTTGGGACTCCCAGCCCGCGTCAGCCAAAGTCATCAGGCATACATAGCTTCCATTGGGGATGATCATACACAAGACCATTTCTTCAGGTTTGGGAGAATTTTAATTCATGTAAACAAACCACAAATATCAAGCAAAATGAGACAGAGGAATATGCTCCAAATGAAATGGAGAGAAGCAATATGTCTGATAGAATTTAATGATCATAAAGATGGACTGGAGAGTGGAATAACTCAGTAAGAACTTCAACAAAGAGAAAATACTAAGAAGAACCAATCAGAGTTGAATACAGTAACTGAAATGAAAAATACACTAGAGGAAATCAACAGATTCATGGATGCAGAGGAAATGTTGCAGAAGATAAGGTAATGGAAAGCACCCAAGCTGAACAGCAAAAAGAACTGTAAAAAAGGATAAGGATAGATCAAAGGATGTCTTGGACAATATCAGGTGCAGGTTCACATTATAGAGATCCCAGAAGGAAAAAGGGGGAAGAAACAGGCAATCACAGAGAGTTCCAAACAAGATAAACCCAGAGAGGTCCATATTACTTGACACACGATAACTGAAATGTCAAGTGTTAAAGATAGAGAATTTTAAAGCAGCAACAGAGAAGCAAAAGGTATATACAAGTGAAACCCCATAAAACCTCTGCTTATTTTTTCAGCAGAAACTTTGTATCATGTCACTCCCTTTGGGCCTGCAAAGAGCTGAAAGGAAAAAACCCTACAAGCAAGAATAATCTATCTGGCAAGGAGAGAGAGAAAGAGCTTCCCCCCAAAAAGCTAAACTAAACCAACCTTACAAGAAATGTTAGAGGGACTTCTTTAAGTAGGGGAAAAAAAAAAAAAAAAAAAAGGTCCTAATTGCAAGTAGGGAAATTATGAATAAAAAGATGTACAGTATAACAACATTTACATGAACTGGGGAGGTGAGAGTAAAAAAGTTCTTTCAGAATGTGTTTGAACCTAAGTGGCCACCATTTTAATATAGATTGCTTTATACTTGGGATGTTATATATAAATGTCATGGTATCCACAAACTAAATAGTTATAAGAGAAACACACAGAAAATAAAGAGAAAAGAAGCCAAGCAGATCGCCACAGAAAGTCACCAATCACAAGGGAAAAGAGCAAGAGAAGAAATGAACAGAGAACTACAAAAGCAACCAGAAAACAGTTTAACAAAATGACAATAAATACATACCTATCAATCATTACTTCAAATGTGAATGGTCTAAATGCTCCACTCAAAAGACATTAGATGACTGAATGGATTAAAAAAAAAAAAAAAAAAAAACAAGACCTATCTGTATGCTGTCTACAAGAGACTCACTTCAGAGCTAAAGACACATAGGCTGAAAGTGAAAGAATGGAAAAAGACATTCCATGTAAAAGGGAAGAAAAAAACTGGGGTAGCAATACTCATATCAGATAAAATAGATTTTAAAACAAAGACTGTAACAAGAGACAAAGGTACCATGTAACGATAGAAGGATCATCCAGTGAGAAGACCCAGCCATTATAAATACACACCCAACATTGGAAACATAAATACAATAAAGCAAATAACAAGAGTTATAAAGAGAGAAATTGAGAATAATACAATAATAGTAGGGGACTTTAGCACCCCACTTACATCAGTGGCTGGATCATTCAGGCAGAAAATTAATAAGGAAACAGTAGCTTTGCATTCAAGACCAGAGGGACTTTTATATACAACATTCTATCCAAAACAACAGAATGTATATTCTTTTCAAGTGGACATGGAATATTCTCCAGGATAATTTACATGTTAGGCCATAAAACAAGTCTCAAAAATTTTCAGAAGCTTGAAATCATATCGTGCATCTTTTCTGACCACAAGGGTATGAAACTAGAAATCAGTCACAAGAAAAAACTGGAAGAAACACAAACACATAGAGACAAAACAACATGCTACTAAACAGCCAGTGAGTCAACAAAGAAATCAAGAGGAAATTTAAAAAATACATGGAGACAAATGAAAATGAGAGCACAACAGTCCAAAATCTTTGAGATGCAATGAAAGCAATTTAAGAGGGAAATTTATAGTCATACAGGCCTACCTCAAGAAACAAGAAAAATCTAAAGGAACTTAACCATACAGCGATGGTAGCAAGAAAAAGAACAGATAAAACCCAAACCTAGTAGAAGGAAGGAAATAGAGCAGAAATAGATCAAATAGAGGTTTAAAAAACAATGGAAAAAATCAGTGAAACCAAGAGCTGATTCTTGAAAAGATACGTATCTGAACAAACCTTAGTGTATTTGTCCTTTCTCCTACTGAAAAGTGCAATGAGATTGTTTCCAAATTTAGCTTTAACGAGTAACACCACACTTCTTATGCTACTCATTCACAGGTTTGAAAGTTTCTTTAGGACCATAGTTCTCAACCTGGGTCAGTTTTGCCTTCCAGGGAACATTTGGCAATGTTTGGAGACATACCTCCCCTCAGTCTTTATACTAAAAAATGCTACTGGAATCGGGTAGAGACTAGAGATACTGCTAAAACATCCTACCTACAGTGCAAGAACAGACTCCCATCCACCCCACTACAAAGTATTGTCCAAATTAGCCAATTTGTTAATACTGTGAAGGTTGAGAAACACTGCTCTAAGGCATATACTTAGAGGTGGGATTGATAAAGCTTGGGGTATGTGCAAGTTTTTTCAGTTATTATATGAAATAGAGTTCTGTAAAACATGAAGAAAATATTTTCAGTACAGGTAAAGCTTTGGAGTGTTTTGGATTGGTTTCTTTGGTGATGATAGCAATCTAGCAGTTATAAGCAATTTAATTATCTTAAATCAGAGGTAGTGGCATTATATAGCGTTAACTACATTATCTACCCACCCAGAAGGTGCATATAATCTTTTAATGTCATGAACTAAAATACATTGTTACCATCTGATTAAAATATAGAGTAAAAGTCTGCTTTAAAAAGGTATCGTTTGTGTGAGATAATAGTAGCTGGACTATTTAGGCTGAAGATGCTAATTGAATGAAAGAAAAATTAGAGCATGAAAAATGTAGAATTTTTTTCCTGACGAAGATTATTATTAAATACAGAAAAGTTAAAGGTTTGAAAGCTTTCTCTCTAGTATGATTTTAAATTTTTTTTAATGTTTACTTTTGAGGGAGAGAGAGAGTGCGAGCGAGAGAGGGAGGGAGACACAGAATCGGAAGCAGGCTCCAGGCTCCGAGCTGTCAGCACAGCCTGACACGGGGCTTGAACTCACAGACTATGAGATCATGACCCAAGCGGAAGTTGGATGCTCAATTGAGCCACCCAGGTGCCCTTATCTCTAGTGTGATTTAAATTAATGTTTTGGGATGCCTGGGTAGTTCAGTAGGTTCAGCATCTGACTCTCGATTTTGCCTCAGGTCATGATCTCATGGTTCATGGGTTTGAGCATAGTGTGAGGCCCTGCACTGATTCTCTCTCTCCCTCTTCCTCTATCTTTGCCCCTCCCCCTCTCAGAAATAAACATTTAAAAAAATTAGTGTTTTAATTGAGAGCAAGGAAATTAGCAATGAATTTTGCAACCCACTTTTAAGTCTTTAAGACTCACTTTTGAAAATTTGATAGCCCCAGATTTCAAAGCTATAAGTCTGAAGAGTTATAGCCCAGAACTATCTGCATTGCTTGTGTGAATACAATGTAGTGTATGACTTTTGGGTGGTCTCTGCATGTTCTTGAAATCTATCTATGGGCCACTCCCAGTCCCCAGATTTCCAGGTTAAGAACTTTGCTAAAAATCTATGAATACTCTTAAAGTGCTAAAAATAAGATATGTTTGAAATTATCTTTGAGTAGTAAAGACATCTATATTGCTTGCATCTTCATTGATGGAGTAAAATAGCTGACTTGGAATTAGAATTTTTCAAGTCCTCTAACATTAAAAGAGTGAATATGTGTCTTAATTTTATATCTATAACCTTCATTTTTCTTGGTCTTTTGTTAGGTATATGCAGCAGTACTATGGCAACAAACTAATGAAAACCAACAAAATTCAGCAGAAAGAGTATGTTTTGGAGCTGCCCTACCGGAAGAAAAACTTAATGACTTTCGTGATGAACAGATTGGACAGCTGCAGGAGCTGATGCAAGAAGCTACTAAACCTAACAGACAATTTAGTGTCACTGAATCTAGGAAACCAGAATTTTAGTCTATACAATAAAGCTTCAGCATTTTAAGTTCAGAACCCCTTATTTTAACTCCTAGGGTTTCTAAAAATGTATTTTTCAGCTTTTAGGCTTTGGAATGCCTACTGTTCATAAAATATTCTTTAATTTGGGGATCTTATTAATGCTGTCTACAATCTGTAGGTCAATGTGACTAGTAGACAAACTTCATATGATTGAGGTAACAGTACTTGCTGGATGGGACTTGATTTTTTGACTAAACAAGAAAGAATGACTCAAAAATGGACAGAGTTGTCCATTTTTTAAAAAATTTCATGCTGTTCTTGTTCAAGCATTAGCCTTATGGCTTTGGCTTCAACAGACAAGTATGTTATGAAAACGACAGATGTGGAATTCCAGCAAGGTTATTATTTACCTACATGGACTGTCATCCTGTAAGTTTCTTCATTTCTGTCTTAATAATACATGTATAGATAATTCATGTAAATATGCCTTCTCCCTGAGTCATTGTTTATATACAATGAAAGGTTAAAAAGAAGTTTTAAGAGTCAGTATTATACATTGTGCAGTGTTTATTAATAACAAGTGACCCCTTAAATTATGTAATTTGTAGTTACCTTTAGAATCTCATTTATTGCCTCACTGTTGGGGAGATAAAAACACTTTCATAAATTTGTATTGTTATAAACGGAAAAAATCAAGTGGTAATCCCATTCACGTGTTTTAAATGTTTAATTTTTTAGAAATTACACATTGTGGGGCACCTGGGTGGCTCAGTCAGTTAAGCATCCAACTTCGGCTCAGGTCATGGGTTCCCACAGTTCATGGGTTCAGGCTTTGCATCGGACTCTGTGCCTCCCTCTCTCTCTCTCTCTTTCTGCCCCTCCCTTACTTACACTCTGTCTCTCAAAAATAAACAACAAAATAAATGTTTAAAAATAAAATAAAAATTACACACTTGTAAGTTTAGGTATGTATGTCTACTTTGAGATTCAGAAGTGATCATTTTTCAGATACTATTGTGTTTATTCAACTATTTAAAAATTGATTCATACTTACTCTCTCTTGCTGGGTTGGGCTTTTTCTTTGTGTATGGCTGCCAGACTCCTCAGTCCTTTTTAATATTCCTCACTGAGTCAATCTGGAGGTTGATGCTGGTCTTTTACCGAAAGATAGGTGGTCAGTCAGTAATCAATCTAGGCTCCAGGAATACAAGAAATTAATAAGATAAAAGCTCTTGCCCTCCAAGGAGTTTAAAATCTAGCTATGCATTTAGGAACCATTTCATCATGAACAAATATATCACATCCTCAAACTCTTTACAATATTTTCGCCTTCCTAGTTTATAGAAATCTGTGTTTTGTGAAGTGGGAGCTATGGATCCTTTTACATACACAGTAATGTATGGTCCACTCCTGTTGTCTCTTTCAACCTATCACTGGGCCACCCTCATATAAGAATCCTCTTTAACTTTTAGTGTTTTCTAATTATACTTCCCTATTCATTTTCTTAGGCAACTGGCTCATACTTCTCCATCTCAAGTTTTGCTATCATTTTGGTTACCTTAACACTATAATCCATATGGCTGACATATCTAGTAACTATTTGTTCTCTGATGCATTATTCACCACCCATAGAAAATTTTTTTGGGAAATCACAGCCATATTTATTGGACATCATACAAATTACTAGCTTGAGGTATTTCACAGTTTTACTACTGTATTGCACCATTCATTTTGGTGACATATCTTTGAGAAGCTGTGCTTTTAGTGATTACTGTGATAAAAGTATCACACAAAAATCAGTATGTAAATACTCAATATTATTACAGAGTTTAAAAAGCTGCATTGTGTCTTGCAGGTGCTAAATTTTTAGACCATAAAAACTTACTAAATTGTTGGGCTGTGTAATAAACTAGAGTTTGTTTGTTTTTGTTAGTTTTGCTGTAGGTATGCTGTGTAAATACCGAGACACTAAGTGTATAAACTGAGAAAGTCTGGGAAGCACTGCAAGAAACAGTGTTAACTGTGAACTCATTAGTGTTCTGACCATCAGTTTGTTCAGTGTTGTTCCTTCACTGTCTTCATTCCTATCTCAGTGTGCCCTCCTTTCTGTGATCTTTCACTTCCTTCAGCCACTTAGCAAATACCCTCAATGTCATTGTAACCTTTTTCTTTAACCTCTTCTAATGCTCAAGTGTAGCCACTCACTTGCCAAAATCAGTAGGCTACTAATCAGTGCAAGACTGATATGTTATCTTGAGTCTTGATAGTATTAACTATTCCTCACAGCTTTTAAATCACTCCTGCTTGGATGATATGATACTGTATATAGAAAACTGTAAGGACTCCACCAAAAAATTATGAGAGCTGATAAGTGAATTCAGTAAAGTTTCAGGATATAAAATCAATGTACAGAAATCTATTGCATTTCTGTACACTAATAATGAAGCAGCAGAAAGAGAAATTAAGCAATCCCTGTCAAAAAAAAACAAACAGAAACAAAACACTAGCATTCTTCACAGAGCTAGAACAACAATCCTAAAATTTGTATGGAACCAGAAAAGACCCCAAACAGACAAAGCAGTCTTGAAAAAGAAAACAAGCTGGAGGCATCACAATCCCAGACTTCAGGCTGTATTACAAAACTGTAATCATTAAGACAGTATGGTACTGGCACAAAAACAGATCAACGGAACAGAATAAAGAACCCAGAAAAGGACCCACAAACATATGGCCAACTAATCTTTGACAAAGCAGGAAAGAATATCCAACAGAAACAAGACAGTCTCTTCAGTAAGTTGTGTTGGGAAAACTGGACAGCAATATGCAGAAAAATGAACCTGGGTCACTTTCTTACACAATACACAAAATAAACTCAAAATGGATGAAAAGACCTAAATGTGAGACAGGAAGCCATCCAAATCCTACAGGAGAAAGCAGGCAAAAATCTCTTTGGACTTAGCTGCAGCAACTTCTTAACTCAGCACATCTCCAGAGGCAAGGGAGACAAAAGCAAAAATGAACTGCTGGGACCTCATCAAAATAAAAAGCTTCTGCACAGCGAAGAAAACAATCAGCAAAACTAAAGGGCAACCAATGAAATGGGAGAAGATATTTGCAAACAACATATCAGATAAAGAGTTAGTATCCAAAATCTATAAAGAACTTCTGAAACTCCGCACCCAAAACACAAATAATCCAGTGAAGAAATAGGCAAAAGACACGAATAGACACTTCTCCAAAGAAGACATCCAGATGGCCAATTGACACATGAAAAAGTGCTTAACATCACTCATCATCAGGGTGAAATTAGAAATTTCACCCTGTTAAAAAAGAAATTAACAATCCCACCTACAACTGCACCAAAAACTATTAAAATACTTAGGAATAAGCCTACGCAAAGAGGTGAAAGACCTGTACTCTGAAAACTATAAAATACTGATAAAAGTAATTGAAGATGACACAAAGACATGCAAAAACATTTCATGCTCAGATTGGAATATTGTTAAAATGCCCATACTACCCAAAGCAAGCTATAGGTTTAATTCAATCTTTATCAAAATATCAACAGCATTTTTCATAGAATTAAAAAAATCCTCAGATTTGTAATGTAAGACAGAAGACTCTGAATAGCCAAAGCAATCTTGAAAAACAAAACCATAGATATCACAATTCTAGACTTCAAGTGGTATTACATAGCTATAGTAATCAAAACCATATGCAAGGAGGTGAAAGACGTGTACTCTGGCACAAAAATAAGACACAGATCAATGCAACAGAAAACCCAGAAGAAACCCCATGATCATATTGTCAATCTACAACAAAGGAGGAAAGAATATGCAGTGGGAAAAAGATAGTCTTTTCAACAGCTGGTGGGAGGAAACTGTACAGCTACATGCAAAAGACAGGTACATGAAACTGGACCACTTTCTTACTCCATACACAACAATAAACAAAATGGATTAAAGACCAATATGTAAGACCTGAAGCCATAAAAATCTTTTAAGGCGAGCACAGGCAGTAATTTCTGACATTGGCTGTAGCAACATATTCCTAGATGTGTCTCTTGAGGTAAGGGAAACAAAGGCAAGAATAAACAATTGAGACTACATTTTTTTTAAAAAACCCCAACTTCTGCACAGTGAAGGGAATAACAAAACTAACAGGCATCCTACTGAATGGGAGAAACTATTTGCAAATGAAATATCTGATAAAGGGCTAGGATCTAAATGTATAAAGAACTGATAAAACTCAACTCCCCCAAAATGAATAATCCAGTTATAAAATGGGCAGAAGACCTGAACAGACATTCCTCCAAGAGGACATCCAGATGGCAAACAGACACATGAAAAGATGCTTAACATCACTGATCATCAGGAAAATCAGAACTACAATGAGATATTATGATCCTATGATCATGATACAGTAATCCCACTACTGGGTATTTACACTCCCTCCATACAAAAACACTAATTCAAAGGGATACATGCACCCCTGTGTTTATTCCAGCACTGTTTACAACAGCCAAACTGAAGCAGCCAAAGGGTCCATTGATAGATGAATGATAAAGATGTAGTTGTTATACACACAGGAATATTATGCAGCCATAAAAAGGAATGCAATCTTGCCTCTTGCAACAACATAGGTGGAGCTAGAGAGTGATGAGGAAGCATAAGCTGACAGGTTGCAACTCCCCACCCCCCACCAGGTGGGATATGTGAGATATTCCTTGGGCTCTCCTGGCTGCCCAAGAACAAAGAGATGGGGAAAATCAAATGGTTAACAGATAGAGACCATAGTCCTGCAGGACCTAAGTTTCCATCGCCCTCCATAGTGATGTGGGAAACAAAGGCAGAAAGAAATGGCAGATAGAACTAAAGTTCCTTATAACTTGCAGCCCATTGGCAAATATTTGAGGCTGGCGAAGTAAAACATTTCTCCAGGATCGCCTACTGTTTTAATGCTAATACTTTGCTAGAAGGAAAAACAACCCTAGCTTGACAATAGCTAGGCCTCCAGTATCCTGTGAGTCTTCTTTAGCGTATGAAAATCCCACTGGAAACGTCCCCTGGACTTTACCTCCCCCAACTCCATAGTAGAAAATCAATCTCTCCTCATGGTCCTGGGGCAGCACTTCCTGTCCTGTCCTGTCCCCTTGCTTCAATAAAATCACCTTTTAGCACCACAGACTTCTTCAAGAATTCTTTCTTGGTCGTTGGCTCCAGACCCCGCAAGTCCCACTATCACCCCCAAAAACCTTATCAGAGAGTACAATGCTATGCAAATAAGGAAGACAAATACCATATGATTTCACTTCTATGTAGCATTTAAGAAAGAAAACAAAAGAGCAAAGGAAAAAACCCCACAAAGACTCAACTATGGAGAATAAACTGATTGCTACTAGAGGAGAGGTGAGTGTGGGGATGGGTAAAATAGATGATAGGGATTAAAGAGTACACTTCCGATGAGCACTGAGTAATATATAGAGTTGTTGAATCACTATATTGTACACCTGAAATAATCTTACATGTTAACTGTACTGAAATGTAAAAACTTAATAAGCCACTCCTGCTTGGTTTGTGTACTGCCTAACTTTCCTTTATAGCTGTAATTTTTCTTACTTTTTTTTTGTTGTTGTTGTTAATAATGCTGTTCTCAGGGCGCCTGGGTGGCTCAGTCGGTTAAACATCTGACTTCAGCTCAGGTTCATA